TCTCCGAATTATTTGAATGATACAATTGATGATACAACTGCTGAGATAATAAAATATTAATGCATTATTCATGATAAGAATTAATGACACAATTGATGATATAACTGCTGAGATAATAAAATATTAATACATTATTCATAAAACATAATTGTAGTTCACAAGTGAGAATGCTCTCTTCCTTCTAAATTATAAATGAGATAATAAATGGATACAATTGATGACATAAAAATGAACAATAAAGAGTTTTTACATCAGATATTTTATTACAAATAATCATTTTGCTAATGACGAAATATTACGAATAAAAATTATTAGATCATACGTTACTAAAATAGTAATGATGACCCTTTACATAATGAGATATCACGTGAGACCGACTTATCGCGATTCATTTAATTATACTTGGGCTAAGTGATTGACCGACTTAGCGCTTATCGCGACTTTATATAGATTGACCGACTTATCGAATTTTTTTAAATAGTAAAAAAACGGGGCGAAAATTTTTGGCCGAGTTAGGCTAAAACCGACTTATCGAGTGACCGACTTATCGAGTTTACATATGTATTCTCTTGTAATAATATTTTACACAAAAATTATTATTTTTAGCGTGTAACACAATTTATGATAGCCTTTTTCCTGCTGATATTTTTTGCAAAAAAATAAATTTTTTTCTTTGTGATGTCTGATATCTCCGAAAAGGACGGGTTTGATTACATTGTTCAAACTTTGGTAAACGATTGGGATCCATCAGGTTATCATGTTTGTTGGGAAAACATTTTATCATTGGAACCAGATAAAGCAACGGTAACAAGAGCTTTCAATGAACAAATCGAATGGTTAATAGCAAACGGCGCCAAGGACAAACAGGAAAAAGCAAAATACCTAAAGAATCAATTTCAAGTAAGAATATATTGGCTGTAGGGACCCGTGGGACTACGTCTCCTGCACGGTACTCCTGCTACAGACCAATCATTCTGGTTTTGAACATTGTAGGGACCCGTGGGACTACGTCTCCTGCACGGTACTCCTGCTACAATCTGATCCACTAGACCATTTTAATTATATTAATTTATTCCTTAGCTTGATTCACAGAAAGGTGGTCCGGTGTATCTTTTTTGGGCAGAAAAAATGCACGTTACAAAACTCAGAGGAATTGAAAAAAAAGATTCGAAGCTTTCAAGTAAAATAGAATAAAATATTATGGTGATATATAATGTATAATCATTTATTTTTATTTTATTATTATTTTCAAAATAGGCGCAACACCATCTTTCTGTCGCCAATCGTATTCTTACAGGGAGCGATGAAGCAATTTCAAGAGAAAATGAAGACACATTTGAAGGAAATTTACCAGAATTTATATTTAATGTAAGCCGCAAGATGTTCTTTATTTACGGTTCTAAATGACAATAAAAATATGCTATAATAAGATGAATGCCCTATCAATTTAACAACAGACTACTCAAGAGACAAATCAAAATGCTCAGTTTGACTCTGTACCATGCAAACGCTCTTCTGATGATGATCTTAATCAAGTATTTAGATACATAAAAAATCATGAATTGATTAACTTAATGATTTTTTTCACACAGAACTTCAAGAAACGTTTATTAGGTTTTGATTATTATTCCGATAGCTCTACTTCTACTGAAGAAGAAAAAAGCAAAACTGAAGCTGAAGATTCAGATGAAGAAGGGGAAAGGATTACCAACTTTAGTAAATTTACATTTGATGAGTACATCGACACACTTAATGAGAAGGGATGGGTTTTAAGCGATGGAGAAAAAGTCAGGGATATTTTACTAAAAATGACATCAAAAAAAAATCGAATTAAATCAATTAAAGAGAGTGGATAGAAAGACTCTGAGCGTCATAAGGTATATCATGTTTGTTAAGATGATTCCTAATATTTATACATTAACTACTGATATGCATATGTACAGGCTTGGTCTTTCATCAATAATCGATTTGTCGTCAGAGTTCGATGAAGGAATGTACATGTGGTTTGGAAAAGATTGGGGAAATTTGAAAGCGAAAGTTTCAGAGAAGATAAATTTCAAAGTAAAAAAATTTGAAGGTGACGCCTTGTCTGATATCATTAAGATCGAAGAGGTTTGTAAAAGATGTATTGATTGTTTTTGCACCGTACCTGTAATATTTAACTATATTTACTCTTAAATGCTTAGTTATGTGCCTCATATCACTATTGGGAAGCGCGTATTTATCTATTAGATAAATTAAAAGAAAGACACATTGATAACAAACACCAACAAGTTTTAAAAATATATTATCACTTGTATGTTATCACATACCTTTTATAATTTTTCTCACTTCCTATAATTAATTAATCTATCTCAAACGTTTCATCACTAGGATCGATATGTTGTTGGCAAATCCTTATTCTTTTGTTAATAAGGAAGGGGGGAAAAAGAATTTGACAGAAATGGAATACATTATGAAAATTTCAGGTCCCATATTGGAAATAATTTTTTCAAATAACCATGACATAGTTTATCTTAAATGGTAAGTAATTTTTCATTACTCGGCTTTATAGTTCTAATTGTGTCTAATTCATTTTGGGATTTGTAGGGGTGAAACAGTTTCTAAGTCAGCTGTAAACCGAAAAATAGATTTAAAAATATTGACTACTGACAATGACTTAGAGTTGTCACACTCTGAATTTGCACGTAAAGCAACACTGGTAAAAATAATCAAAGACGCAGTAAATGCTTAAGAACCAATAATTGCATATTGGATACCTACACTGCCTGGAAGAAAGTATCGGGACACCTGTTTTTAATAATTACGCAAAAACTCACATAATAATTATACATAAAATTTTATCAAAACGTAGCTTAGATTTTGGTGAATGCGCTTATAAAATTTCATGTTTTTAGCCTTCATTTATATTTTTTAATTTTAAAAATACGAACTTCAATTAAATTTAAATTTTTAAAAATTTTTACTGTTGATCATCAAAATTACAAACAAATAAATCAATACCATGTTGGCCACCCATTATTAGCAATGCATTCCTCTATTCTCCTTGGCATGCTTTCAATCAATTTGTGATAAACTATTTGAGGAATTTCAGACCATTCCTCTTGCAAAGCAAGTTCCAATTCTCGAGCATTTTTGGGATAAATTTCACGTTTTTTCAATCTTCTTTCCAACTCATCCCAAAGGTGTTCAATTGGATTGAGATCAGGAGACTGGGATGTCCAATCAGGTAATGTCACAATATTTTTTTCTCTCATCCAAATGATTACATTATTCGCTGTGTGCACTGGTGCATTATCATCTTGAAATTTGTATCCTCTATTATGAAATTGTGTTGCAATTAACGGCATCAAATTATTTTCCAAAATTTCAATATAATCCTGATTATTCATCCATCCATCTGCTTTTACTAGTGGTCCTAATCCCTTTCCAGAAAAACACCCCCACACCATTATTCCACCACCACCATGTTTAACAGACGGTCTGATATTCTCAATATTGTAACGTTTGCCATTTTTCCTCCAAACTCAAGATGGTCCATCACTCCTAAAAATTTTAAAACGGGATTCATCACTCCAGATGACATTTTTCCATTGTCTCACAGTCCAACCTCTTCTGTCTAAACACCACTTTAATCGATTTTCTCTTTGCTGTTCTGTTAATAAGGGCTTTATTGCAGCAACTCTAGAAAAAACTCCAAGTTCATGCAAATTTTTTCGAATAGTTTTTGTTGATACTTGAATGCCACTTACTTGAACAAAACCTTTTTGGATCTCTTCTGCAGAACTATGATTTTTTTTTGTCACAATTTCTTTCAGGATTTTTTGATCATTAACTTTTAACACTCTTGGACGGCCACTTCTTGATATGCTTTTTAGACTCACTGCATTCTCATAACATTGAATATTTTTGTGAACAGTAGATTTTGGAATTTTAAGTATTTTTGAAATCTTTCTAATACTACTACCACCTATTCTAAGACCTAATATTTTTCCTCATTCAGTTTCAGTCAATTCTGAATTTTTAGACATTTTTAACATTTTTAAAAAATTAGATCAAAAAAATTTTAATCCATCAATTTTAGCACAGATCCTTTATTTTAAATAACAATATGTCTAACCATGGTAAAGTCATGAAATTTCAAATAAATATTCTTGAGAACCTAAGCTACATATTGATATAAATTTCTTTTAATTTTAATATGAAAAATTTTAAGGAATTGTAAAATTAAAAAATATACAAGTGATTTTAATTGAAGTTTGTATTTTTAAAATTAAAAAATATAAATGAAGGCTAGAAACATGACATTTTATAAGCACATTCTCAAAGACTTAATTCGTGATTCGTGAAACATCTGCAAAATTTTTCATAACAGAATTTGGCGCAAAATTTTGCAGATCACTAATTAAAATTTTCTGGACTCCAACTTTCACCCCCAATGTAACCACCCTTTATGTTTATATAAACTAAAATTGTACTTTTAACACATGATATGAATCTCGAAGTTTAAATATACA